GATTCGGAAAAGTTATCAAAGTATCTTCTCTGAATTTTGGCACTTGCATATTTAAACTGATGTCATGAACTTCTTACTATCTCTTAGAATGTGTATATGCATTTGCATATTTTGACTTCTTGCATATTTTAGTTGGCTTTTGTACTGGTCCTTTCACTCTCAATCTCTTGTCTTTAATTAGCTCCACATACCAAAATTTTGTTTTGGCAACCAAATCAATGAACAGTAACAAAAAATAAACATAGTGAGCTTTTTTTGCAAAGTATGAGCAAACAATTTACAAGCCTAATGATTCAGCAAGTCGTGAATCTGATGTGATCAATACATGTAGATATGAGTACTCTACATGTGCTGGTAGACAATATGCATAAATTCAAGAAGATTGTTTGCTATAAATGCTACAAATCGTACTATCAATTTATCATAGTATTCATATGGAACTAACAATTTAACTATTTTTCCTATAACTTTTTTTTATAGTGATAAAAATAGTAATAAATTATTAATGCCAAAATTTTAAATCTTCGCGTGGAGAGATGATAATAGGAAAACTCATTTACCCAAATCTATTTGACAATTTTTTTTAGTATTTACGCAAAGCCCATTTTTTAAGCTGATATTAGTAATTAAAATGGTAAAAAAGATTGTAACTAAAAATCCTATATCAGATTTCAAGATTAATTTTGATCCAGATTTATATTATAAAAAGAGCAAAATAATAAAAAACTGTAAAATGTATAAAACCTAATTTAATAGGTGTCCTAATTTGAAAATTTTATTTGGTTTTAACGTGGTTATTCCGTTGAACCGAATAATTAGATCGGATAATATAAATTTTTGCAAATTTTATAAAGGACAATTTAATTTGCAAATTCATAAAATTCGTTGATTTTAATAAGAAGAATTTCATAAGATACCACACTTTGAAGTTGTGTTTCCAAAAGTACCACCATTTGTCAAATGTTCCACAAATACCACTATTTTTAAAAGTTCCACAAATACCACAAACAAAAAAATTGATTTTCAATGTTTTATGATTTAAATTTTTTTGTTTCGGTTAACTATTGTATAA